AATCATTAAAAACAACTTTGCGAAAAATGAAAGAAAAAGCATAACTAAACAATTTTTTTTACAACAAGTTCGTTGAACTTATCCTATTCAATTAATGAGATTAATGAAAAAATAATTGTGAAATTAGATCTAAATTTCATTTTCAATATAATCTTATGTTTGGTAGTTTCCTCAAAGTGAAAACTAGGTTTGCTCAAAAAATTAATCTCCAAAATTTACAACCAATTCACCAAATAAAATACAAAACCAAAATTCAGAAAAATTACCCAAAATATCAAATCAAAAATCAACTCATTAACAAAGGAAAGATGAAGGGGCGAGAAAGAGAGAGAGAGAGAAAGAGAGAGAGAGAGAGAGAGAGAAAGAGAGAGAGAGAGAGAGAGAGAGAGAGAGAGAGAAACATTTAAATCCAAAGAAAGAGTACCGAGTGTTCGTAGTAGGGGAATGACAAGTTAATTACCGACACTGCAACCGTGCAACAAGCGGTAATGAGGGATGTATACGCCAAAGTTATTGGCGGTAGAGGGCCAGGGGCTGAGATGAGGATAGAGAATGGGTGAAGGAGTGAGAGTAATGGAAGTACATTGCAATGGTGAGAGGTGGTTACGGAAGGAGATGAACAAGAAGGAAGGAGGCTGAAACAAGCTAGGGTTTTCAAGGAGGAGAGATCGAGAAAGATAAAAGAAGGTAATCTATAAAGGAGTGGGTTGGGCCGTTGGGGTAAAAGAGAATAAAGATAAAATGATAAAGGAAAAAGTAGCGTGAAAAGCTGAAGAAAAAAAAATAGCGTGAAAAGTTGAGAAAAAAAAAAGCAAGAGACCGCCTATCTTAAATGGGCGGTCTAAGGTGTTAGGGCCAGAGATTTCTTTTTTAAGAACACAGGTCTCTCCATTTTTATATAAAAAATAAAAAAATCAAGAGAAACTGGTTTTTTTACATAGAGGGTTTGTATTAAGTTTTAAGAGACCCGTTATCTGAAATATTGGGTCTCTTGAAACAAAGAGACCCGTTATTGAAATAAACGGTCTCTTTGGCCATTTTTGTAGTAGTTCATAGATGGTTTCAAGGTGGTTTTTTTAGCAATATTTGGCTTTGCGGGGTTCTCATTTAATTTCTTGGATTCCCCATGGGGTTGGGAATTTGGTGGAAGGGATGGATTTAGTTTGTGGATCCATGGTCTGCCCGTTATGGCATTATAGGCTGAAGGACAATCTATGAAGTTGAATCTGGTTTGGGAGTTTAGGAAACTAACATAGGTAGGTAGGGTTAGCTATGTTTCCGAGAGTTGACATAGCCTCACCACTGAATTCGACTAAGGTCGTAGACCTTCTGACGACGTCGCTATCCTCTTCAAGCCTATATCTTTCATAGTCTTCTGGAACAAAACATTTGCGGAGCTTCCTCCGTCGATTAGCACCCTTCAAAGCAGACCATTCTCGACCATAAAAGAAATCACTAGGGAGTCTTCATGCTCTCTATTGATGTTGTTATTATCATCATCGTCGAAAGTGATGGCCATGGCTTCCAACTTCTTTTCCAAAGGATCCCTTACTTATTCTGGGACGGCAGGGCTATTTGTCGTCGACTTTGAAATTATTTTGGCTGCAGAATAGGTTAGTCCACAAATATCTGAACCACCAGAAATAACATAAATTACTACCTTAGGTACAGGGGACTGTTTGCCATTTTAGCTTTGTCGTTACTAGCTGCATTGCCTTAATTTTTCCCTAGAAGATGCTTGAGGTTGCCCCACTTCAGCTGGAAGGCGACTTCTCTTCGCAGGGCATAGCAATCCTCCGTTTAGTGACCATGGTCGCTATTGAATCTGCACCACTTGCTCATATCCTTTTCTGAATCCGACTAATTGCTCTTCATTGGCTATCGAACTTAGTTGCCTAGTGGCTCAAACTCTTTCACCACCTTTACAATGTTCACGTTAAATCCATACTAGATATCTCTATTTATTACGGTGCATCAATGATCTGCTCTACCTGCTCACTATTAACAGACCGTGATCTACCTGCCGTTTCATATGGCTGATGTCTCCACGATCCTCACGGATTACTTGTAGCCTTGCGATCGGTTGAGCTTTTGACGTTCTGACTGGCGCTTTGGTTAGCGATGTCCTCGTCAAAACGCATATGGGCCACAACTCTCGTCTAGACCTCTTCAAATGTTGAGCAGGGATATTTAACCACATCTTTGTACAGATTTGAATTTGTATGCAGCCCTCGGAGGAAGTCTTCGATGGAAGTCTTATTGTCGACATTCTTGATCAAGTCTTTCTCCTTGTTAAATCTGGTTCAATAGGTCTTGGTGCTTTCCTTTGGCCCTTGGACGATCTAGTACAGGTCGCTTGTCTGCTTGTCGAACTGCCTGCTGCTTTCAAAATGAGAATAAAATTTGTTAATTAACATAGCAAAGCTAGTGATACTACCTAATTCGAGCTTGCCAAGCCACTTGAGGGTGGGACCAGTCAGCGTCGCGCCGAAGGATTTACACATGCATGCTTCCCAGTACTCGAACAGAATCGAAGCTTGGTACATCCACTACTTGTAGTACAATATGATGCTCCAGACAGGTTGTATCATCATAGAACAAGGTAAATGTCAGGAGGGACCGTATTCTAGGAGTGCGAGCCTTGGAAAATTCATCACCGAACAAGGTCGCAGCGAATCCATTGAGAGTTTCTCTCTGGACGGGGATCAAAACACCTGGCATCTTCTTCATCATCGACAACACCTTGGAATTCTACTTCTTTAAGGCGACCAACCTCAGGAACAAGATTTCGGTCTGGCTTAGCTCACAATCATTGGACTACTACTACCTCCTTAAGTCTAGGGATTCTCTTTCTGGCGACGTTTCTGATTGGGGGATCCACTTCCATCTCTCTGTCGCTAGATTCTGTCTTTGTATCATGCGAAGATTCCAACACTCCTAATAGCTGCATTCTAGGCACAATATCAAGGTTCCTTGGTCGGCAACAATTGCTCTAGGCGGATTCCAATTGCTGACGGAGGTTAGTTGCATTTAGCACTGTCAAACGATTTGACAGTTCGGGTTCAGTTCGGTTTGAAATCAGTTCGGTATTAAATCGTGTCGTTTTTAGATCAGTTTAAGTGTCTCACGGGTCGGTTCCAGTTTCGTTTAAATAGTTATCGGTTCGATTCGGTTTTGGTTTATTCTTGAGCGGTTTTAATTCGATTCGGGTTGTAAACGGTCCGGGTAGTAAACGGTTCGGTGCAGACTGGTTGTAGTTTGTTAACAGTTCGTTGTAAACGGTTTTTATCCCGGTTCAAACAGTTTCGGGTTGGAAACGGTTTTGAGTTAGAAACCATTCGGTTTTTTTTCAGTTCAGTTAATAACTAGTTCGGTTCTTTATCGGTTCAGTTTATAACTGGTTCGGTTCTTTTTCGGTTCAGTTTATAACTAATTCAGTTCTTTTTTGGTTTAGTTTATGGAAAGAGGATGTTTAGTGGCAAGAAGATATTTTATACCATGATAATAATTTGGCAGGAAGATATTTTATACTATGATAATAAATTTAGAATAAATATTAATTTGACAGGAAGAATTTTTGTACTATGATAATTAAAGTTCATTTAAAACACCTTTTCACTTGATTTTAATATTCTCTTTATAGTAAGCAGTTTGCAGCCGATTCGTTTATAAGCAGTCCGGTTCATAAACGATTCGGTTTGCAAGCGGTTCGGTTTATAAACGGTTTGGTTTATATACAGTTCAGTGCAAACGGATCGCGAGTTGTTAACTGTTCGGTGTAAACGGTTTTTTTTATCCCGGTTCAAACGGTTTCGGGTTAAAAGCAATTTTGGGTTAGAAACAGTTTGGTGTTTTTTCGGTTCGGTTTGATTTAAGTTCGGTTTAGATTTTGTTTGGTTCATTAACAGGTTCGGTTCTTATACGGTGTAACGTTATTCAGATCGGTTGGATTTTGGGTTGATTCACATACGATTCAGGTCGATTTTCGGTTTCAAATAAACGGTTTTAAATCGGTTCGGTTCTCATTTGAGTCGGTTTGGTTCGGGTAGTTAAACAGTTTCGGTTTGAAATTTGACAGCACTAGATTAGATTGCAAAGCCTCCTTCTTTTTGTTCAGACACTCGTTGGATTCTCGGGTTGTTAAGAGATTAGCTTGAGATTTCTCATAAGCCTCTTTCAACTTTTTATGGTTCGTTTCATTGGAAGTCATGTTGAAGGTTGAATTAGGATATTTTGGGTTTAACCTAGTTGTAGCCCCAAGGTGGGCGCCAAATTTTATATGCAATTTTTCGTTAAGTGGGATTGAATAACAAAATCTAGGCTACGGATCAACTAAATAAAACCGAGGATAAAAATAAAGCGAAAATACAGAAATGACACGAGGAATTGGTGATGCGGAAAACTAAATGAAGGTAAAACCGTGGGTAGAATGAGGATGTACCAAACTTTCACTATTAAAATATGTTTAGAATCGGATTACAATGTATGCTTAGAGTATTTTTGTAGCTAGTGTTTTGTGTCCTTCATTTGATGATGCCTTTGCTTTATATAGAGGGTGCTTAGGGTTAATCCCTAGTCGTTGCAAGGTGATAAGCTTCCCTTAACTTTCGGAGTTAGCTTCTTAACTTCCTTACTTTAGTTGAGTCCAATAACGGCAGTATGTAGCTGGGCATGGACTTAGTCTTCCACATCTATCTCTTCCTGGAAAATAGTGAAGTAGTTAGAGCACCTTTTGTCCGTCGAGATTGGCTTCTCCTCGTCAAGTCCTAGTCTTCATCGAAGCTTGATTTCGTCGTTGACTTTGACTTACAGAATTTTAACCATCATCATTTTGAGGTGACATCATCATTTTGAGTCTTAAGATTTACACTTAAGACTTTTCCCATTTTTTCTTCAAAAATCTCATGCAAGTCTCAAGTTGAGTCTTGAAATTTCAAGACTCAACTTAAGACTTGAGATTGGGACCCACTTCACTTTTATTTTTATTATTCCTTTTTTTAACACTTTTCTACATATAATATGTCAAATATTTAAGTCTTAGGGCTAAAGTGATAAATTTGTATAAGTCTTACTGAGCATTAACAAGAATTTGATGGCATAATTTTCAATGGGAACCACCAAAAATGATGTCACATTAAAATCTTAAGACTTGGGGCTAAACTTGCTCTAACATACTCTTCAACATCGTAGTTTCCTATCGACAGTAGAATGACCCGTACATATGTTGCTAGCTTCAGTTAATACTCTGATATTTATTCCAAACAGCAGACTTCCACCATTTCTTGCCAGAAAAAAAAATAAAAAAATAAAAAACTAATTAATAAAGACTTCCACTAGTTGTGAATATAGTTTGATCTGTTGGAGTGAGGTTTGCCACCAGAAACTAAAGTGATAAAATATCCCAAGATAGACTAAATGAAAAGAAATAAACAAAACTAATTAAGAAAGACGGTAACTATATATTATCAAAATACTAGACATTTACATCAACAAAGATCTGCCTGAAAATCCTTAATGTATGAAGTGAGGCTTACAAGGGATAATTTTATATGTTTCCGAGTAAAGGCAGATCCTAGGCACAACGAAGAAATTAGTACAATCAAACACTGATCGTTGGGAAGGTACACCGGGGATGCAATTGTTTGCCACATCCAAAATTCCCCTATCAATCAAGTTCCTAAAAGATGGACCAACTTGGTTGAAATAATTATCAGACAGAGAAAATTTAGTCAAATTTGGTAGCTGACAAATTATGTCTGGCACCATGCCATAGAGCAAATTCGCTGAGAAATCAAGCAGTGAAGCCCGCTCCATACAGGCTAAAGAAAACGGCAGGGGACCAGTGAGTTTATTGTGGCTGATATCGAATGCAGTCACTTGGTTAAGGAAGCCAAGCTCGTAAGGTAAACAACCAGTTAGCTGGTTGCTCATTAACAGTACTTCAGTTAATGCTGACAATGCTTTGGCTATGTCGCGTGGTAGTGGACCTGTGAACTTGTTGTTGGCTAAGGTGAGATACAATATATGTGAATTTCCAAGAGATGTAGGCAAAGCTGACACAAAATTGTTGTCATTAAGGAAGAGAACATTAAGATGTTGTCTGAAAATTGCAGGAGGGACCGACCCTGAGAATTGGTTGAAACGAATGTCTAAGAAACTCAGGCTCTCCATGCCCACCACAACGAGAGGGAATGGACCTGTGAATTGGTTTTTGCTAAGGTCTAATTCGTAGAGATAATGGAGATTGGCTATTTTTGATGAAAGGGTGCCACTAAAAGAGTTTGAGTTGGCATGGAAAAGGGCTAAATCAGGGAGTTGGTCTATGAAGCCATCTAAGGATGGAGCACTGAGGCCATAACCATTGAAGTCTATGGATGCGACTGCTGTAGCACTAGTGTTATTAGGTTGTGTATCAAAGAAAAAACCTTTGTATCTACAAATGTCAGATCCTACCCATGAATTCGTGATCCCTAAAGGATCCGAAGTGATAATATTTTTAAAGTTTTGAATGATAGGATAAACCACTGCAAGTCTGATGTCTGCAAAAATTAGGCCAGTTGGGATGTTGGGTAGTGGTGGAAGGGCAGGCAGAGATGATGGCGGCAGAAGTAATGGCATAGGTGGTATTGGTAGAGATGATGGCGGTGAGAGTAATGGTATAGGTGGAATTGGCAGAGATGACGGTGGAGAAGTGGATGCTGTAGGAGGTTTATCAGGTTGGTGACAATGAAACAAAGGCCAGATGCAGTATCTTCTCTGATCTCATGGCCAAAAGTTTTTCCGTTTGTTTACTAGATCTCTACCTCTTGTACCACCACGAAAAATCCGAGCCTCCCCTGCGTTATCTGCGGCCACCAAACCTAATGTAAGGAGTAGGACGATCTTGAAGATCGAAACTACAGATACAGCAGAGAATTTCATTTTTTGTGCAAAGTATTTTGCACCAAGTGTTGTATTAGTATATTAAGCGTGCTATAAAAGGGAGGAAGGGTGGTAGCTGTGCTTTAATATTGCTGTTTGAAGAGAAAGAAGAATAAGAATAATGATTTTGTTAATGGGAAAGCATTATGATATGGTATTTATGCACTATATATGAATTTTATCAGGCATATGATTTCTTTTTGGGTGTCTTTATTGTACAGTGCGTTAGGTGATCAAGGACTTCATCAATGAGTACAAGGATTAGTGTTAAGATACTACTTTTTCCTTGCATTATACATGTTGATTACCTGTATTCTAAAAGTTGATTCCTAGAAAACTTTTATTAACAGAATCATACTTTGTAGTAATAAAATGAAATACTAGTATTATGTCTTATTGTTTCTATTCATTTGGGTGCACTGGCCTGGGCAACCCCGTTCTATTCTCCGGTGTGTGAACTACAATTTCTTTATTTTCTATGCAAAAATCAATAGCAAGATTGATGAGTATCATTTATGGCACTCATTTGATTCTTTTTAGGATGAAATTCATGCTATTTTATAGCTCTTTTCCTTAGTTTTTCCTTAGTTTTACTCTTTATTTCCTTAGTTTGCATTTTCTTAGTTGATTTTCTATTTTTATACATTTCTTGGTTTATTTTGCTATTTTCTCTTTAGTTTGTTTGTTTTCGTTCATTTTTCAGGTTAAGATCATAATCCAAGGATTCCCGAGTCTCCTTCCCAATTTTTACATCGTTTGAGATGCCTCTTGCCTACCATTTGAAGTTCAAGTTTGAAGGAGTGTAAAGTCCAAGTATTCTAGCTAGTGCATTCAAGCGCTAGGGGCACCATTCTTAGTGTTGAACCCACCGTGGGGGCTATTTTGAAGACTGCCTCCTTCCGCGCGTGTCATCAACATCATCAAGTAGAGAGCACGAGGAAGAGCAAAGTCGAGGGTGATGGAGGTTGTTCTGCTCCCAGGCGCGGGCGCGCACGACCATGGAGCGGCTGCGCAACCTGGTGGCGCCGCGCCTCTTTAGGTCTCTGTTCCGTACCCTTTTATGCGCAGCCGGACATCCACCTTTAAGATGGTCGCGCCTATACGAGTCTTTTTGGATGATCTAACTAATTTTTCCCTTAGTTAGTTTTACTATGTATAGACTTTCCTTTTATTTTTCGAGGAGAATTCAATTAGAGAAAATTAGATATAGTTTTAGAGAGAGAAACTCTAGGTTGTAGAGAGAGAAGTTCATGGTTGATGATTAATGATTCTAAGTACAATTTATATTGATTTCATCAAAGTTTGTAAGGATTTCCTTTACTTTAATGCAATCTTTAGCTTTTGATTTCAATTGTTTTGTTGATTGTTCAAGTTTGATTGATTTGTGATTGATTTAGTTTGATTAATATGATGATGATGAATTTGTTGTTTAGCTTAGTTTTGATCTTGATTTCCATGGATTGTAAGTAGTTTTCTTGCTAGGGGAATGGTGAAGCATATATGAGTAATGGATTGATGCTAATTGTGGGAAATTGATGGAGTTGATGTAGTGATTAAATTGGTTGATTGATTATGTGCATGTGTGTGATTGATTGAAGAGTAGCTAACTTTGATTTTTGCACTAGATTGCATTGTAAGTTCACATTGATACGGACAATTGATTTGTGGCCCGCATTTGTCGATTGAGTTGGTTTATGAAGTTCCTAGCTAGGGTCTCTTGTAGCTAACGCTAGTTTGACCTCTAGGAGAATAGCTTATCATACTCTCTTGATTGCTTAATTGATTTTCCCATGCAACACTCGACGTAGTCAATTCCAATCCTGATAAGTTGTGTCCATTGCATGTATATGTGGATCCTAAACCCTACTGTTTGATATATTTGGTTTTAATCTCGTTTTTTAGTTGTTTTAGAGTACACACACCTTACTTTACCTATTCGAAATATCTTAACTCTATCAATAGTAACCACCACCCATTCCTAGTGGTTCGACCCTTGACTTACCCCTATACTAGCTATAAAGGTGTGTTCAGTGATATAAATTTTGTTTGGCCTAGGGAAGATTAGTCCAACGACCTAGTCTCAACCCGTAGTCAAAGATTCACTATAGGTTACCCAGCAAAAACATTAGTAGACTAAGGGCTTATTCACATTTACTGAGCTGAACTGAATTGATTGGAGCTAAAATGAACTGGACTTAACTGATTGGAGTTGAACTGAACTGAACTAAATTGAATAGAGCTGAAATGAATATTTTATGAGAAAAGGAAATTAGGAGCTGAATTGAACTGAATTGAACTAATTGGAGCTGAACTAAAATGAACTAAACTGAAACTAAGGTGAAGTGAACATCCACGTGGTAATACCTCATTAACGTTAAATTCCTTTTTTGTTTTTAAGTTTTATATAACTTTTATGACTACGATTTAAACAATTATTCCTATAAAATGTTTAATTTTATTCCCCCTTATTACTGATAATTGCCTATTTTTTGAGCTCTTAACAATAGCGTGTGAACATTTATATCTTAAAAATATTTATTTACATAGTGTTTCGGGGTTTTTTGTGATTCCCTCGGGATACTGGTCAGGCCTTCGGACAGATGGGCTCTGGCACCTGCAAACTAATGAGGCCTCCGACGATTAAGTTAGTAACTAGAAACGAAAAGGGTAGAGAGAGAAAGTAGAGAGAATTAATGATCTTTTCATTGTTATGATTGGGGTATTCATAGGGGTGGAAAGTTGTGCCCCTTTAGAGTTAGTGACCTAGGATGGTGTGCTCTGATTGGCGGCACAATCAGGATAGGTCACGTGCCTCCTAGGGGCACCGTTTTTGCTCCTCTCTCGGATTTTAAGTGTCACCTTTTAATTTAGGCCACGTATCTTTATGGGATTGGACCTTGTGTTGGGGTTTTTTTTACCCTTAACTTTTTCCCCTCAAAGGGGGTGACTCGTACTTTACGGGTTGCCTCCTCTGATCTCCCTCGTCCAGGTACGTCCGAGTACTTATCCCTTTAAGCATTCAAATTTCTAATCAGGGAAACGGTCAGGACCGTCTATCCTTCAAAAAGTCATTCTATGGGCTAGTTGCCTTGTCTGGTTTGCCAAATTTCATTAGTGAGCTAATTCTGAAAGTCAGGCGATTAATGCGGCCTGAATGACTTTTGGGAAGTGACCAGATTTCTATCGTGTTTCCCAAAAAATGGTTCAACTTTTGAGGTAAACGTTAATTTTAAGGGATCATTATGACGCCCACACGAATTTTAGTCTTTAATGATGGAGTGGTTTTTTTACCGTTTGACTTCTAGGTTAAATTTTTCGAAAATTTAATTGTTTGCGCTTCTAAGGTGGGAATGTTAATTTTACCAGCCCACCTTTGTAGATTTTTCTTATAAATAGCAAGGGTTTGACTCTATTTTTAGAATAGTTTTAATTTAAGTTCCCTTCTTTGTAGCATTGTAAGTTATTTCCTTCCTGGGTTGAAGAAGGTCCCAAGGGTTTGGTGTAACTTTGAGTTTTTTTAAGTTTCTAGAGATAAAGTTAGGACTTCTAGAGAGAAAAAGTTACTTTTCCTTCATATCTTCAAGTGGTCTTCCGTGACTTTGAAGTTTTTCGATCAAGAGTATGAGTTTTTAATTAGGTCAATCTTCATCCAAGATCTTCAAAGTCTTCAGGTTTTCTACTCAAACAAAGGTAATTAACTGCTTTTCTTTTCCTTCTTCCTCTCTTTATACTTGTTATATTTTCAAACACACTAGCTTAACACTTGGTCTCATCCGTTTCTGCTCATGAGATGCCGTTTTTTTGCCTTAGACTGAGAAAATAGAGTGGACGGGTACGAGTCTTCTTCTTTATGAAGTGGGTCAATTTATATTGTGTACCAACTCACCCTCACCTATTCTTCTATGTCCTTGATGTCGAACATGGGGCGTACAAGGAAGATGTACAAACGATATTCTGCTAGAAATTCAGACGGCAGCATAGTACAACCTCAGGCCTCTCATGATCTGAAAAACATGGATGAGGAGACCACCAACACAAAAACAAACACAACTTCCACTTCTAGTGGTAGTACATGCTCGGTGATCGAAGTGACCACCTCTTTTGAGGAGTGCCAAAATCAGCAAGGCACTTCTATGACCAGGCGAAACCCAGATGCACATCAATTAAACACTTCTTCTTCTAGTTGGTGTCCGGGCGAAATTCGGATCAACCCCTAACACAGCCTACGAGCTCGGTCTTAATGCCACAACCTCGGGGATGAAGGTACAAATCCAACGTAAAAGAGATTGAACCTGCCCTAAAAATAGACCTCTACTTTATTCTTCTCATATTCATGTGCGCTTTCTAACTAACATAAAATCAATATGTTAACCCTAAACGTGTTTAATCTATGTTGGTTGGATATTAATGCAAAAATAAATATATTATTGGCGATCACTTGAATTATAATCATATTAGCCTCAACAAGATTATTAATTATCTTATTAAGCGTGATTACAAGTAAAAATTCTCTTTAAACCTGCAAGAGAGGGCGTGATTAAGCAATAACGATAATATATTAAGCAACATAATATTGATACAAAAAATCATCATCATCATAATATTCTCATCACAATATAATAATATTAGCAAGATCCTAGGCATGATACTAACAAGATTAATAATAACAAATCCTAACATGCCACTGAATATTAAAGATCAAAGGTTTAGCCCTAACATGATACTAACATGGTAGAAAAAATAGGAAGCAACCTAAACATGATACTAGAAAGCAATAAAAGCATTCTAACATGATAATAAAAATTAAACTAATATAAGCATGCTTCCTATATCAAAAGATTAATTAAAATAATTACTTAATTTGATTCCTTGTATCTCTTTCTAATAACAAAATACACGCATTAGTAACTTCAAGAAAAATATTAAATCAAACAATTAATTTAAATAATTGAAATATGGATTTGGGACCAAACTCTCAGAAATTATTAACCTTTCACGTCTAGGGAGAAGGCAACTTCGAACTTGGCTAGATCTGTCTAGAACTTGTGAATGTGGTATTCTGTTTGT